CGATGTCAGCTTTTTGGCATAGCGTGTGCTTGGATTGAGTGCATATGTCAACGGAGTTGGGATTGGGATATGATTCTAGATGCTAATGCCCTCTTTAGCCCCCTTGGCTTTTTTGATGTAATTTTTATGTACTCCTTATACTATATGTTACATTAATGAATTTTTCTTTCGCTGGCAATAAAAAAATAAAAATTGAAAATCTGGGTTTTCTCTCAAAATAATTAGCCACGGGTGAAAACCTCTCAAGTGACAACCAAGAACGATTTATGTGTTGAAACAAATAAGGGAAATTTGGTCAATAATTCTTCAAAATAGTTTGTAATGAAAAAAGGACACTTCAACCATTTTTAATGTATGAAGTCCATTAAAATAGATTTTTTCTATGAGGAGGGCACAATACAGCATGGGTTTTTTGTGTTTTTTGTGTGATGAATTCGCTATTTTCATTGTATTGGATGGAGATATCAAATAGATCTGGAATAGAGAAGAAAAAGATAAGACGGTGGCATAGAACAAGTGGCTTCCTATGACAGGCCTGCAATGAAGAACAACAAAACGCAATGGACCAACCTTGCCTATGTATGTAAAGAGTTGGTCAATGACTGCAGTAGACTCATGGATGACTTTATATTCAAAACAAATTCAGAAATGCAACACCATCTCACTGGTTACTCATCCTCACTGATTGAGATTCAATTTTTTGAGGGAAATTTTTTTTTTGCTACCTTTAATTTTTATAATCTCTTTAAACTAAAGCAACTTTTGTAATATATTATTAACTTTTATTGCAATCCAAGGCCCAGCCAGCCAGACCCAACTATTTATTTGGTAGGAATATACATGACCTTTTCTTTCATACTTAAACTCTCAAACTAAACTTTTTTATTGTGACAGATCAGTGGCGTAAATTAACATGGAGTTAGGATTGGTCGTCCCAAATTTAGTGAATCGGTCTATGTTTGACTACACATTATTTAAATTTGGTCATTTCGATATCTATAGCCCTTTGATATGTTCCTCGGTAAAAATAAAATGCAATCTAATAACTTGTGGGCAAAATGATTGATTACCAAATTCTAAACCAATAATTCACAATCAATATGGAAAGTTAAATCCAATATATGGACGCGCCTCAAAAGGGCGTGGTGCACAGCCACTTACAAAACATATATACAACTTATGAAGAGCCTTTAAATAGATCATGATTCAAAAGAAATGACAAATCTAGAATAAGTCTTCATGTACAAGTGGTATTCTATTATATGCTGCAAAGTCCAAAAAAACAATTTGAAGTCTCCTCGAGCTCTCCTACCTGAAATGGTTAAACAACGGGGTGAGAACACACTCAGTAAATAGTTTAATCGCTGAAGTCACTTTAATTCTATGGAGTTTTCTTTTGTGTCACAAATTTTCAACTTTGGGATATCATTTTCAAGAATTAGTACATAAGCAACGTTTTTGTATGAAGATAACAATTAACAAAATTTAGTACAAGTTCTTAAGTTACAAGAGTACATGATACAAGATATCAAGATAAATCACAAGGTGTTAGATGCTAATCCTTCGGCAAAAACAAAAGCAAAAACAGAAGGATCACATCGACCCAATCCACAACAAGACCACTAAAAGTGGTAAAGCCGCATGTGCAATATTAAACCACTCACGTACAAGACTTTGGTCTACATCTGCAAGACCGTGGTTAGTAACTACCTTGGTTGGTCGTCAAACATGCCGACGCTAAGGCCAGCAACAGACTTCTCAAACAAACAACAACTTGAATACACAATTACGCCGGTTGTACCCATGAGTGTGTAAATCTTTATGTAAAGTGTCTAATTCCCTCCCTAGGAGTCACATTCAACTCTACTTAAGTATATCCCAATTAACAATACTACATCCCCTAATTTATCACCCCTAAATGATCCTAATGATATGACATTGAAATTAGACTGATGTGATAAAATGTTTGACAATTAAAAATTGATATTTGTCAGACATAGGGATCATTTTTAAGAATGATAAATTAAGTAGCTCAGCATTTTTCAGATCCAATATAGCTACTAGATGAAGTCGTTAGTTAGATTGGGTTACACTTCCTCAAAGAGTTCAACTTTATCCAATTTAGGAGCTACATTCCCACTAGGACTCAACTTCTTAAGGTTACTGGACTCAACATTCCGAGAGTCATATTTCGATTGGGGCTGGTCGCCACTTATATTGATTGAATAAATGATTAAATAAACCTGAGATTTTTTTTCTACTTCTTCCTTATTTATACCTGTATTTCCATCTTTTGTATCTATATAGATTATAGATGGAGTGCCAATCCAACACAAGTCCTTTTTTTTAATATTATATCCATTGTATTTTTTTTCGAAAATATATATTATATTGACAAGTGTATCGATCAAAAATAATTCATCCTAAGTATATTTATTTATCTCCGTCCATAGGTTTGATTTTTTACTTTCCTTCAGGTAAATAATGGGTTCGTTGGATACCACGACCTCGGCCAATACCTCTTTGCCACTTGGCACATAAGTCCAAGATCATGCTACATTCTAGACCCAGGTGGTCCTTCTTAAAAATATGCTCTCAAATAAAAAAAACATCACAAGAAGGGAAAGGAAGATCAAACCCCAAAAGATTAAAAACAAAGTTGGGAAAGAGCCAACCAGACAAAAATAAACACATGAAGCAAATAGAACAAAGCTCAAATTCAAAAAATAAGCAGCCAAAGCAACTTATGCACCGGAGTTTAGATAAGATGAATATGTATTAAACTGTACTTTAGTATCAGAAACAGTGTGTGCCGAGGATGTGAGGGTTCCAAACTAAGCTCTATGTTATGTGAATGCAAGGGTTGGGATTAATATGTTATATCAGGAATTGCATTGTAAATTTGCATATGAATGACAGTTCTCAGAAACAACAACAACAACAACAACAACAACAACAAAAAATAAATAAATAAAATAAAAATTACAAAAGAGGTATTTTGGTTTGGAGTTTTTAAAAACAATTTTTGAGTTTTCAATTTATATTTTTTTATTTTTAGTAAATTTTTTTAATATTTTGGTCAATTTTTTTGGTACATCTAATCTAGATGTACTTAAAAAATAAAATATTTGTATAGAAATATTTAAAAAATTCAATAATACCAAAAAAAATATGAAAATGTATTTTGTAGTATTTAGCAAATTTTTAAAAGATTTTTTTAAATAAATTTTATACTTTTTAAATGTATTTATATTAATTGGATCTAAAAATAAAAAATATTGATTAAAATATTTTAAAAAATCATTAAAAATATATATATATATATATAATTGAAAACTCAAAAAATTTAAAAACTGTTTTTAAAAACTCTAAAACTAAACAGAGTGATTATTAGGTTCTATATATTCAAGAATCTGTGTGGTGCAAGTTAGATCCTCTAATGTTAAATTGTATCAGTGTGACTAAAGATTTATAATATGGTTGGAATGAAAGTCTTGTGGCTTGTTTGTGCTTTCCGAGGCGTTGCCTGTGACTCAGCATGGGAGAAGGGGGCGAAACTGCACACTTTCGTATTCAGATATTAATCATAAGTTTGTTTCACATCATTGAAATCTAAAATGATATGTTGTTATGACTATTTCACAATCATTACTCACAAAATTAACATTTACATTCCATCTATATAATGAAACTGGATTGATCATCATTATAACCAAATAACTACCTACCATGGCCAAGTTAGCTCCTTGTTACGTCCCGTCAAATTACCTAGACAGAATTGCCTACCAAGAGGAAGTCTCAAGGAAGGGAGGCTAATGGAATATTTTGGAAGCTCCTGAAAAACTTGAGAAAATATAGGAATATGGTAGATAATTCTATAATATACATGGAAGGATTTAAGAAAAGGTTCTAGAGCATTCAAGTGAATATTAGAAGGATGGAAACAATAGAAGCTTCTAGAACCTCCTAAAGAAATGGAGGTGGTAAAAGATCCCTGTATCTACTTCTAGAATGAGATAAATGTTTGTATAGATATTTTTGAGGATTTTAGAACCCTCTTGTAGGATAAGGAAAGCTTCCATGAGAAACTTCTCCATAGTCCTTTTCTTGTATGCTCTGGAATATTTTAGAGAAGGCTTAAGATGCCTATAAATAGGAGAGGGGCTCATTTGCTCCATGAATGATCCAAGAGTTGTAAATCTTTCTCAAAGTGAATACATAAGCTTAAGGCATTCTCTCAAACTCTCTTTGTCTTTCTACTTGTCTTCTTGCAAGTTTGTAAGTTAGACTAACTTGGCATCATCAAGTAAGGCTTGAGATTGTCTAAATGCCACACAGATAGCATAGAAATAACCAAGGTTGTGACATCCTGGATGGGAACCTAATGACCTTATCCAGTTTAAAGGGTACAGGAATCATTTTTTGATCAGCAAAATAAGAGAAATGATAATCTTGATAAGGTTGTGACCTTGTTAACCATAGTTCATTCAGAGAAAACAAATCTGTAGTATTATTACACTAGAAGAGCTAAACAAGTTTGAAACCTGTCCTCTTATTTTTGGTCTTTTAGGTACTTTTATCCTTAAGGGTTGTGATAAATTATTTGCTTAGCCTATGATTTTATGTAGTAGTATATATTTTTAGAAACTCCTTTAAAAAAAAAGACCACCTAATCCCCCCATGAAGAATGCGCATGGCATTGGCCATTGGTTGATCTTGTCGACAAAGATTGATGCAGATGGTGCATGTATAGATAGTTGTTTAACAAGGGCCTAGTATTTTATAATCACTAAAATAAAACTATGAAACATTTCTCCCTCCAGAATTAAGTTCAAAGATAGTGTAAAAAATAATAATAATAATCATCTATGAAGATATATATGATAAGTGAAAGTGAAATCATTGATGAAACTTAACCAAAATCACAGTAATACTTATACTTACATCCTTCTCCTTCTCTTTTGTTGTCAAATCAAAACTGAGAACTTATTTAGCAAAGTTCATGCATTGATGTGTAGTTGATCACGGTTCTCTCCATTAACTTTCTCGTCAATAACATTATGAGTTTGATTGCCATGTGTAGAAGCAACCTCCATCCCAAGTGCTAAAATGGCAACCATTCGATCAATTATAAAGATTTCCTTCATCTGTTAAGTACATAAATAAGACTAGCTCTTTATATTAATCATTTGAAAGAAAAGAAAAAAAAAAACACTATCAATAATATTGAAGAAGTAAAATGTCACCTACTCTGGTCCAAGTATTCTTTGAGAACCACATAATGATACTTAACAGGGCCTTGGCCCAACCCTTGATGTTATTCCATTTGTTTCTCTGAAACATTGCCATGGTGTTGCAACAATTTTCAAACCACTGTTTCATCTTCATCCATTCTATCTTCATTGTGTATGCACAAGCTTTCCTATAGTTCATCAAACTCTGCAAACAGGACGACCCAAGCGTAATACAGTTTGAAGCTTCAATATTGCTACCCATGCCAAATGAGAGAAGAGAAGAGAGGGAAGAGTAGAGAGATAATATGGGATTGGGAATTTGGGAGCTCATTTTTGGTGTGTGGAACAGAGAGAAGAGTAGAGAGACTATATAGGATTGGAAATTTGGGAGCTCGTTTTTGGCGTGTGTCTCAGTCACTACGTGATCATAGTTATAGATAATAAAAAATATATATATATATAAATAAATAAATAAAAACCCCTTTGTCCCCGTTGAAAGTTTTTTTTTTAAAATTTTATATGTTATTTAAAATACAAATTTCTCTATGTGATTAGTTGTAATCTAATTATATCTTTGTCAAAAAAATTCTTAAATACAAGATGTCTATTGTTATGTTTGGTGCAATTTATTATAAGTTAAACGTTAACAATCATAAAGTATAAGCTAAAATCATTTCTTTCCTAACTCCTAAATTAAGTTTTTTTTAACTTATTTAAGTCAAAATCTAAAATTAAAATAAAGGGTAAATTAAAAATACACTCCCTGAGATTTGATTAAAATACAAATCACCCTTTTGATTCTGGAAATTACAATTTCACCCATGAGATTTCTAATTTCATAACAAATCGCTCTTTTTATTAATAAATCATAAAATCAATTAACAGATTTTAATGATATTAAAAATATGTTTCAATTAATAATTTAACTAATTTTATTATTATATATGAAAGTAATTATGAATTTTATTTTTTAACTAAGGGGTTGTTTGGGGTGTCGTAAATAAGTGCACTTTTTGTCTTTTTGGACTAAAAAATTGAGAGAAAAAATATAGTTGTTTAGGATAAATTTTTGACTTTTTATGAAAAGGTGTGTAATATAATATTAGTACACATGGTAAAATGACTATTTTACCCATCCTAACTGACACACCAGCTGAGGCGTACGTACACCGTTGTTGGGAAGCGTGACTGTAGATCTGTGGTGACAATTCAGTCACTGTGCAACGTAAACATAATTTTTAAATTTTTTTTTTCATTTCCTCAACACTGTGCAACGGTCAAAACAAGTGATTTTTTTTCTTTATTCATAATTTGTCTTATATCATGCTTTTCCTATTGTCATTAATTTTTTTTTCCCTTGCAGTCATTTTTTTTTTTCTTTTCCTTGTAACATTTTTGTTTTTATTATTTTCCATTTTGAAAGAATGTATTTTTTTAATTCTTTTCATTTTATCATTATTATTTGTTTTATTTCTTTCCTTTTTTATTCATTTTTTTTTTGGTTTGCATTCTTTTCCTTTTAACATTATTTTTTTTTCTTCCTGTAGTCGGTACTTGTCCTTTTAACATTATTATTTTTTTTGTTTTCATTTTTTTTTTCCATTCTTTTCGTTATAATTTTTGTTTTCTTTCTTTTCCTTTGTTAGTCAATATTTCTTTTTTATTCTTTTCCTTTTTTTTTTCTTCTCCGTTTAACATTTTTATTTTATTTTTTATTTTTTTCCTTTTAACATTATTAATTTGGGTTAAATTTTTTTATGTTCATCATTTTTTTGTATTCTTTTCTTTTTACGTGCAAATTTTTTTTGATTGTTTTCATTTTTTATTCATTACTTTTTTTTCTTTTCCTTTTAATTTTTTTTTTAAAAATTATTTTCTTTTTGCTTTTATTGTTTTCGTTTTAATAAATTTGGTTTTATTCTTTTTTTATTGCTTTTCTTGTAAATTTTTTTTTTCTTTTCCTTTTTTATTAGCTGGTCATGCCCAGTGCTGTTCTAAGTTGTTCAATAATTTTTTTTTTTTATTCTTTTCGTTTCGTTTTCAATAGTGTTTTTTGGACATATGTAGCATAAAATTGGATACAAAACTTTATCAACATCCTGCTGAGAAGTATTACAAATTCAGAAATACAAAACAAATTAACAAACCATGATAATAAACACTTTTTAAATCTGAGTTACACACATTATAAATTTAACCAACATTAATGTTTCAATTATTCGTGTTCAGTTGCCGGGCTAGTTGGTACGTAATGTTCGCTCGTACAACTGTCATTGCGGGGTCGGAGTCCCCTTCCTCAATCACATCGGCCACCCGTGCATATTTATCGTGGTCAGGCATTTCAGGAGCCACGTATTCGGTGCTATTTGCGATAGGAACTGTGACCTCATCAATTTCACTGTTTCGGTGTATGAAATTATGTAACGCCATCGACGCACATACGAAGATCACTTGATTAGAGAAACTCAACTTCTGAATATTCCGCAATGCCCCCCACCTCGACTTCCACGCACCGAATGTCCGCTCGATACAACTACGTAATGACGAATGTGCCTTATTGAATAGTTCGAACTCATTTTGTGGTCTTCGATTTCGATGGGCATTTTGGTGATACCTATACCCCTTGTATGGGGCTAGGTACCCTGTCTTGTTGCTGTAGCCGCTATCCACCAAATAGTATTTTCCTGCAACGAACATTTTTTTAAAAAAATGTTATTTGACAAAAATAATTTTGTGTCAATTTTTTTTTTTAAATGATATTATCTATTTTTCTTAATTTTTCAATTACGATAGCAAGTACGAATGTGTAATTTTTCTTTTATTATTTTAAAATTATACTACTTTGTTAAATAAAATATAATTTTACCAGGTGCGGGGTGCGGGAAGCGATGTTTAGGTTCGGTTGTCACGTAGTGCAACACCCTACTGTCGTGCATGCTCCCGTCCCAACCGGCTGACACAAATGTGAAGCACAAATCGAAGTCACATACGGCCAGCATGTTCTGTGTTGGGACGCCTTTCCGGCCGTAATACGAAGTGGCGTACTCTTCCGAGACACGAGCCATCACGTGCGTGCCGTCTAGTGCACCGATGCAGTCCTACACAACGCACCATTACGCAGAAACTATAAATAATTATTCATGGTATATGTCGCCACTGTGATATTTAAAATTTTGTGAAACAGTGTCACCTTGAATGCCCAGTATCGCCGTTGCGATTGTAAATGTGGGTGGCCCCCCTACTGCACATGCTCAGGTGTAAAACTCCTACTATGAACCGCTGTGAATGGTATCATAACTTTCAAAACCTTATGGAAATGCTGTGACAATGTCTCCTTCGAGTGTTGGAACCGTTCTTGCAAATCTTTCATCTTCATTCCCTGCAATACACAAATGAAAATGGCTACCTTCTCTTCTAGCGGCACGCCATGCTCCCGCTGTGGCAGTGTCAATCCAAAACTATGAAGAGTGTCGCATAACATCAAGAACACTGGTTTGGACATACTGACAGCATCTTCAAACCGGCCTTGGTGGCCGTTAAACAACTCATACATCCTTAAATGTCCTAAAAGTATTGATGTATTTCGAGGCACTCTCTGATAATGGTTGTAGTAATATGTAGCTGCACTGTTATACGCCTTTAGCAAGTTGTGGTTAGTTTAGACCACCATTTCCCATGCAATTTCATCGACAGCTTCCCGAGATGCATTACTAGGCACAGTATAACTAGGACCTGCGTCGTCTGCCATTTTGGAAACCTATAACGCAGAATATACAGAGCCAAGCAGGTTTACCAAAATTTGACTTGACCGGTACGAGGCTGCCTATCAATAAAATTATAACGACTTTGGACAATGAAAGAAGCAGATTGGGGCGAGGGTAAGAAAGGAGACAACCACACTGATTTGTAGTGTTATCTAAAGAAATGAATGATGAGATGAGCAAAGATTGTGGTGAGACCTTTGCAGCCAAAATTTCAACTGATTTGAGGTCTTATATAAAGAAATCAAAGATGAGCATGCGTAATGCTTGTAGTGGGACCTTTGAAACCAAAATATCAACAAATCAACAAAAAGGGATGCTCTTCTTTGAAACCAAAATTTGGGGCCTGCGTAAGAAGGGATTCTCTTCTTTGAAACCAAGATTGTAGTGGGACCATTGTAACAAATATTTCAACAACTTCATGTGGTGTCCATGCAGATTGGGCAACACACAAATTATTGGGGCCTGCATAAGAAGGGATTCTTTTCTTTTTGGTAATATATACCAAATTATTGGTGTATATTTTTTTTGTGTGTTGTGCCGACAAAACAGTTACATCAGTGGAAAAGGTAATGCCAAATTATGGTTTGCCCCACTGGACAGTACAACATGACTGGTTTTCTGGTTAAATGGGCAACGAAACAGCAAATTCCAATTTTTATGAAGAAATAATGAAAATGGCTTAAAAGGCTTTGGATCTTTTCAACGATGAACTCAAAAAAACTATGAACTGCTAATGGAATAAAAGCAACATCTTAATTGGAGTGTTGCTTATTAAAACGAACAACATAAGAGAGAAAAAAAAGAAATACACAAACATAGAATTAAAAAATGCACAAAAAAAAAGGCAGTAACAAGCATATACTACAACATCAACATCATCACACAAATATTATATCAACTGATAATGTCCTAAAAATTCCACCAACAATGCCATAGTTTTTGGGAAGGAAGGATATTTGGCCAACTGTTTGTTCAAAAAAAAAAAAAAACAAAAGGGAACATACAAACGTTACTAAAGAAACATTACATCAATATTCATAACCTGCCACCACCCAAACATTAATAAAGAAGCAACACACAAACAATAATAAAGGAACACAAATTATTTGCTGGACGGTCTTAGAACCAGGCACCACCCATTCTGGGGTTTGCTGCTGATGGGCCACCGATGCATTGCTCACGGGACTTCTTTGTTCGCAACCAAGCAATGACAGCCGCGTCTGTCGGAATCGACATCATTATGGCTTGATTTGCCGTGTTGTCAAGTACCGATTGAGCAAAAAGAACTAGCGGGTCTTGCGGATCCAGCCCTTCCAGCGAATACAACCGTGTCATACACTTCTCAATGAGTTGCTGTGCCGAATCTGCGTAATCATGTGAGACGCGGATTTATCATTGTTGTAATTTCATGGAGGATGCAAGGTTTTCCATACTACTCGCCAACAGAGAAGCTCCCTCACTCTGCCCTTTTTTCCGCTGTGGGTGTGTTAGGCCTGGCGATTTGCGTTTGTTCATGCCACTAGTTAGTGTGTTGTCAGCGTTAATTCCGGACGACGCAGCGTGCACGGTTGCCGGCGTGCCATCCTATTGTGCAACAGTGTCATACACAGTGTGTTCATGCTGCGCGGTAGGCTGGAAAGGGGGCAGCCCGCGGCTGTCCTCGCAGTTTTTTTCAGGCGCCGACGAAGTACCGTCATCGGGTGCCACAGGTTCGAACGCTGCACCTGGTGTCCATGCATATTTTTTGGTTGCTATAGCGCCTTCGTACACCCTTCGCATGAGGTCCATGTGCTCCAACGGTTTTGTTTTGAACTTGATTGCATTCTTGTCAACCTGGGGAAAACCAAAAAAAAAAACCAAAAGAAGAACTTCCAGAGCAAATAGTGAAACAGAAAAAAATGGGGAGCAAACACAGGCAGCAGATTGACAATGGATGCAAATTGGGGTTCAAATGGGGAGCAAACACAAGCAAGCAGAATCCCACAAATACTGTTAACTAGCCTATAAATAACTAATTAAAAAACCACAGGAAGAACTTCCAGAGCAGATCGTAAAATATATATGTATATATATTTCATTCTTCTACCATCTTACATTATCTTTACATTTTGCTAGTTAACAGTATTTGTGCTTGTTAACAGTATTGCGATACAGGAAGCAAATTATGGGATTCTATAAAAGTAATAGTACGAATGGTATGAAATTTGTTTATATAAAATAATTTTTTTAAAAATAAATAAATATTGTGTATATTCAGGAATAGAATTAGGAGAAAATTATGGGGTGTCATGGTCCCTACTTTCTCTGAAAAATTATGTTTACTATAACACTTTGACAATATATATTTTATTGTATAAATAAAATATATTCTCAGTATAAAATATATATGTATATATATTTCATTCTTCTACCATTTTACATTATCTTTATATTTTGTACTATTTAAGGGGTTCAAATGGGCAGCAAACACAAGCAGCAGAAATATAAGATGGAGCACAAATACTGTTAACTCCATCATAGGCAGCAAATTATGGGATGCAAATTGGGGTTCAAATGGGGAGCAAACACAGGCAGCAGAATCCCACAAATACTGTTACATAGCCTATAAATAACTGATTAAAAAACCACAGGAAGAACTTCCAGAGCAGATAGTAAAATATATATGTATATATATTTCATTCTTCTACCATCTTACATTATCTTTATATTTTGTACTATTTAAAGCAGGATGTGGATTTTTGTAGAAAAAAGAAGAGCACAAATACTGTTAACTAGCCTATGATGGACTTCCAGAGCAGATTGGAAACCTACTGTTTCAGTGCAATAAACAATGCGTTGCCCAAAAAATTAAGCATTGAAAATAAGCTTAAGCATTGAAAATAGGAAACCTACTGATCTGTTACTGTAATTTGGCAAAAAAAATTGAGCACCTAGTGAGATACAACAAACTAAAGTTCGTAAGGGCAACTCATAAAACAGTAAAAATAGAAGCAGACATACATATACATCCACACATAACAATAGAAATACACCCCACCAGGTCATTAAAGTTGTAATAATAACGGTTTAAGTATCCATGTAAATGACGTAAGTAAACCTCAATGGAAATGTTACCTTTTCGTAATGCGCCCACCAGTCATCAGATGCTTGTATCAAACCAGTGGCTTCATTGTAACTGATGCCGGTTGGCCCATGCCTGCTGTTCATCAGTTTCGACCACGACTGCCAATCCTTTTTCAGCAACGCGTACTTGTTCTGCAGTTGCTTGATGTCATGTACCTTATTTGTACGGTCCAGAAAGCCCTTGCTTATAGCTCGATATCCATGCATTGTCATTGTATGGAAGCTCCCCTTGAAACCAACGTCCAACTCTTTGATAACAAGTTCCAAAAAAATCCGCACCGTGTCGGAGTCCCAAGATGCTTTATGCACGTTTGCAGACTGCTGTTGCGTCTGTTTACTACCGCGTTTGTGCAAAGATTTGGAAGGCGTCGACTGCGTTTGGGACTGCTCCATTTGCGCACTACAATGCAACAACAATTATGGTATACGTGGAAAAATTGGAAACATTGAAACTCATGGAAAGTATAAAATAAAAAACATATAAACAACTGTGAAACAGAGCTAAATTAGGCAAAAGGGCAAAAAGGTTATAGTGTAATAGTTTAAACTACTATTAATTTGAGTTTTATAGTTCAAACATCTATTTTTGTATATCCTACATTCAATTTCATAGTTCAAACATCAATTTTTGTTAATCTAATTTTGTTAATGAAAATGAACTAATACTTTAAATTAAAAACAAATCAACAAAAACAAAAAAATATTTTGGTTTAGAAGCTATATATATATATATTTCTTTTTTTTTCGTGTGTAATTTCTACTTTTGTGTCTCTTACTTAGCTAAGATAGGGTAATATATTGTTGGCCATTTACTAATAAGTCCTATATGTATGACTTGTAGTCACATACATACTCTTGCGATCTTATAAATTGTATTCCACATTCCAAAATTTCAAATACAATATACTCACATTTCAAAACGCAATAAGATAAATAGTTGAAGCAAAACAAAATTTACCTTATTGTCATTTTCTAATAATAACATATTTAACAAAAACTAAATAAGACAATACCATGAAGCTAGCACATGTATTCATTTAAAAAATAATACATTTGATAAAAATTTCATATGTAATGAACAAATGAATCATCTCCGCAGTTGGAATTTCTACGAATCGTTAAAGTAACAAACGGTGTACTTTTTCAAATGTAATGACACTATAAATGTCTATTGGAAACGAACAATTCATTGGTATTGATAAGGCAAGGTTGGATTGGTCTGATTATGAAATTAACAATTTTGTGATGAAAAAAAAGTTGAACATTCATATACGTATGCTTCATAATCGAGTAAATCATACAGGTAGGGATAACAATGATGATTGTGGTAAACACACTGTTATTGAAAGACATACACCCTAGCAATGTTAGAGCATTGCCAATGATTTGCAAAAACAACTACGAAACCCATAATATGACAGTTTGGGCCAAAAAAAGTAATCCAGTTGCATGCTATAATGCCAAAAGTTCCAGATCAATATCCCAGTGGTTTTCTTTCTTCCATTTCTCCCACCTGCATCCTTTCCAGCAAAACTCTATGAAATAGAAAAAAAAAATTCATAACAAAATTCAAAAATTACAACAACAATCCGTAGACACACAACAATCACAACAACAACGACAATTAAGAATTTATTGCAACTTCAGATAAATTTCAAGTAATTTC